ACAGTATTCTACAGTATCTTGGCTTCTTACTTTCTTTCACATAGCCTGTTCTTTCTATGATTATGTGAGCTACTTTAGCCTAATAAGCCATTCTTTTTGCCCATGTTAATTAAAGTTGAAGTTACCTAAGAGTATATTTGGGTAATTATATACCATATATATCATCTACATGATATATATACCTTTTACCTATGTCACCTTATGGAACTCTAAATCCTCAAGTGGAACCATTTTCTGATTCCCAGGGTTTGGACAATATTTTCCCTCTTACATACACTAAATTTCCACTATGGAAATAGGAAAAGGAAAGAGTCAAATGTAATGGCAAGAGCACTACCTTGAAGTTGTATAGGTGTGTATATACATATGCACAGATTATTAAAACTTCCCCTTATGTTAATCTTTTTTTTACTTTATGTCTCAGTTCTCATTATATTCTTTCTCTTGCTAAAATATGAACAGATTTTCTCACTAGACACCAAAATTGGGAAGTAGTAAAGAAATTCAGTTTTTACAATAAAAACATAATAGGTTTTGATTCCAAAACACATTTGTAACAGAGCATCATGGGCATACAAATGTTATTTCAGGAAGGAATTTTGAATGTTTAATGACTTTCAGAAGTTGAATTTTGGCCTTCAGCCAAAGACAAGTGCTAACTCCTGGTATACTCTGTGCTTACTACCTTCACCATCCTGGACTCAGCTCCTGGGCAATCTTGGTACTCTAATATAAGTCTGAAATCTTCCTTATCTTTTCCAAGATCTTTTGATTTCCATTTCAGACTTATTAAGATATATTCTATTATTTCAGAGTGAGAAATGCTTTCTGCATATGGTGGCAAGCAAATTATGAAGTGATAAATTTGGGCCATGATTTATTGCTCTTCCTTCGTTGTTAAGCAAAACCATTTTTCCCACCAGACCTAAAAGAAAACAAAATTAAGACACTTAATCTATTATGTCAATATACTTAGGTCATATTTAATAAAATGCAGAACTTTCTTCATTGCATATTCTTAAAATCAATTATAGCATCATTTCATTTTTACAGGGCATGACACAAATTGCTGATAAAGTCGCAGTAAAATTTAATTAACCTTGGGCCTTGCCAACTACCCTCCACAATACTTCTTTTCTTGACCCTTCTCTGACAATCATACCTGTACACTTTGTTTCTGCTATATACGAGTATTGTCCAAATATCTGAATAGATATTTCTCAAATGAATTTATACAAACAGCAAAATCACATTTAGATACTATCTCACTCTGATTAGAATTGGTTTTGTTATGAAAAAATAATGACTGCAGAAATTCTCATATATGGTTAGTAAGAAAGGAATTAGTTCAGACATTACGAAAACAACAGGAGGCTTCCTCAGAAAACCAAGCACAGAACTACCACATATTCAGGGAGTTCTGCTACTGAACATATATCTAATGGAAAGATAATCAATATGCTGAGAAGATGTCTGTGCTCACATATATACATATATATGTATGTATACGAATACATATATAAATATATCTACATACATATATGTATGCATTCATATACACATATATGTAATTATGTATGTGCATTATAATACACATATATGTATTAAAATATCACATTGAGATCCATAAATATATACAAGTATGCTGTGTCCATTAAAACTTTTCAAATATATTTTCATTTTGTTGTTATTTTGATTTGTTTTCTGAGCTTCAAAAGATTGTTCAAAGGGGTTACAACTTAACATGGCCATTGAAGTGTCTAGGACTTCTGGATCAGAGTCATCTTTCCATCATTCTTCCCCCAAGAGAACTGGCTATTATTAATAGTGCAGCAATGAACATAGATGTGCAAGTGTCTTTATGGTACCTGGCTTGTGAAGCTCTGGGTAGATGCTCAGCCTATCTGGGTCATAGAGAAAGGTCTATGTTTAGTTGTTTGTTTTGTTTTGTTTTTTTTAGGAAGCTCCAGATTGTTGTCCAGAGTGGTTGTATTAGTGTACATTCTTGCCAACCCAAAGAGAATCTTTGAATGGACTTTTCGTCTAGCTAGCCTTTCAACAAGTCAGAAATAAAGCTGGTGTGATTCTGCACTAAATCTGAGAGGTTTGCTCAAGCGTACTATAGAATCTACACTGAGGTGAGGAGGCAGGCAGCCAGACTTGTGATTGTTCCTCCTTTTTATCTCTAAGAGTGTCCTCTCCTCCTCTCTACCTTCTTCCTTCCCTTCAAGTCCTGATTTTATATGAACCTTATTTCTCATTAGAACTTCTTATCTTCTTTAAACTGCCACTCCATGCTCATTCCAATTTTTGGCTAAATATTTTTTATGTAGATTTTTTTTCTCCTTAATATATTCCCTCATTAATCTCCCGTGGTTCTAATCATTCTTCTCTGCTCAGCAGCCTCACAGAAGTCTCCTATCTGCTATTCTAGATGAGTCACCTGGTCTTTTGCTGTGTTGTTCTCTGTGCATGTGACACAACTCAACTCCTAGCTGGCTGCAAAGCTCTTTGGCGCATCTACCAGCTCTTCTGTGGTAATAATACCAGATCTGGAAAATTTAGCATGGGCACTTATAATGCTCCAGACACAATGCTAAGTAAAGGATTGGCAGAGAGTTTAGAACACTGCTTGGCATGTTGTAAATATTAATGCAGCCTGGTTCTTACTATTACTTGTAATCCTATAGACTTGTTATTGTTTCTGTTTTGTGGATAAGGGAACCATAAGACATGGAGATTTGTAACTTGGTAGGGTCACAGACTTTGGTATCACACTCTGTTTCACATTAATTTCTAGCCATGTTCCTAACCATTACAAAAGGAATTTTCTAACTATACATACTCATCAAGCCTTCTGCAATAATTTGACTACAGTTTTCAGAATAGGGTAAATTGTACCTAAGACAGGTTTTACTTTGGAATTCAGTGCTTTCTTTTTTCTTTTTTAAAATCCAACTGCCTTATTGATAAAAGCAAAAACTCAAAAGTATCTTTCAGAAGATTTTCATTTTGAAATGTAGAGGCCACTGAATTGCATGTCCTTAAAGAGAACAGTGAGTTTTTAGTACCTTGGTGTTGCTAAGGAACTGAGTTTTTAAAGTTTTGTTTCGATTAAAACACTGCTCTCAGTCAGAGACTTTAATCATATTTTCTTTAGTATTTCTCAGTCACCAGGATATTTGCTCTGGGAGAGCAAGGTTAAGCAATATTAGAAGTACATGCATAGTCAGGTGTGGGAGTTGCAGTCCTGTAGTCCCAGCTAGCAGTGAGGAGGAGGCAGGAGACAGAGACAGGATTCTAAGTTCAAGGATTCCTAGGCAAAGCGAGCAAGACTCTATATCAAAAAAAAAAAAAAAAAAAAAATCGAAGGGCTCAGGATATGGCTCAACTGGTATAGAATGCTTTGTCTAGTATGTGCTAGGCCCTGGGTTCAAACAACACACACACACACACACCTTATAATCAATAATAGTATTGGAGACTCAATAATAGTACTAGAGACTACATCCTAATTAAAGTACTTTGAGTACATTTTCATTTGTTGTTCTCAGTTCCTCTGCGGTGTCTCATTTGGCTATTATGGAAGAAGAAACGTCTATTTCTCTTGGGGATTGGGTTCACTAGCCCCCTGTCTCCCTCACCCCCCCCCCCCGCCCCCGCAACCTCCTTTTTCCTCCCTTCCCACTCATGGCCACCACCCAGGCTTTTTTAACTCCCTGAATCTTGGAAGCAGCGGTCAGGGAGGCCCTCTGAAAGGATCCCTGGGTCTCTGGAGCCCTCCAGAGAGGCTGTCAGGTGACAGATCTCAACCTAACCAGGACTGGAGTTTGAAGCCTTCCCACTGAGCAATTGTCTCCCCCTCCCCCCGCCCCTCGCCGCCACCGCGGGTTGCCTTGGGGTGAAAGAATGTGCTGGCCGGGGTCTCTGGAGGCAGGCAGTGAGCCTAGAAAAACATGACACTTAGAACACCTATCTGTTTCCTACAGAGAAGGTATTGGCCGCCGCAACCTCTCGGTTTGGAGGGGGGCTCCCTCCGCACCTGGGGCCGTGAGGCGGCTCCCAGGTGCGCGCTCGCTTGCGGTGGTGGCCTTGGGACTCGAACCGGGTGGCAGAGAGGCGCCTAGCAGGGTCCAGTCTGCATCCTGACGGGCTGGAGTGGAGGGAAAGCGGCGTGCACAGAGGTCTTCGGTCGGGCTACTAAGACCTCCTCTCTCTGCTTTCACCCCTGTCTCCCCGCCTCTTGCCCCAGAAATGATCTCAAGCGTTGCGAGTTTGATTCCACAGCCCCACTCGGGTGGGTTCTTTTGTTTCTTTGTTTTAATGACAGTTCCAGCCCTTCGGCATGGCATGCGCAATTAATTCCCTGGCTCTCTGGAAGGCAGCTGGGGTAAAAAAAAAAATCTGCATCATCCTTTTGGGGATAATTGTTTATGATGTGACGTCAGCAGATTGATTGTTTTCCTCCCTCCTGAATGAGATGGAGGGAGAGAGAGAGAGAGAGAGTCCCAGATGTGCGCTGACATTTGGAATTCCTTCAGGGCACAGGGAGATTGGAATGGGGACGTCAGGTTCTGTGGCCAAGAATTTGGGCTGCGCAGGATTATTAAGTCTTTTTGGGGGGGGCGGGGGTACCTCTGAAATGAACACATAAAGAGACGTTCCCCTCCACGGCGAAGGCACTGCGAGGTGCAGCTTTCAGGCCCGAGCCCCCGGGTGGAGGTGGCGGCGGCGCCCAGGCCGTTCCGGCGGGGCGCCCGGCCGCAGGCGCAGCCCCGCGCGGGGCGGAGGGCGGGGGAAGTGCGTCACCAGGTGGGGAAGGGGCTGTGTCTTTGGTGACAGGCGGCCGCGGTGCGGGGTGGAGGGGAATGGGGACGGGAAATAGGTTGTGTGCGCTCTCGGGGGGTATTGTGTCAGGAGATGCAGGCTGGCTACCATGTGACGCGGTCCAGGGCTGAAGGGATTGGCGGAGGCGGCGCAGGCGGCGCAGCGCGGCCGGCTCGCTGCGCTCGCCTTTCTCTCTCAGCATCTTTCCTGGGAGCCCGGAGGTGAAGCCGCGCCAGCAGCAGCATCCATGGCCTGTCTTTCCGGGTAACAACTTGTGTGTCTCCCTTTACCTCGGGCAGCGGACAGAGCCGAGGTCTCGGCAGCGGCCTGGGGGAACACCAAGACGTCTCTGGGACCTGGAAGCGTTTCCTCCTGTGGTTTTCTTTTTTTTATTTTTTTCCTCCAGACTCCTTGGAAATTAAGGAATGCAATTCTGCCACCATGATGGAAGGTAGGATGCTTTCTGCCATGCTTGTGTGGCTTCAGGCAAGATTTGGGCAGACCAGCCTGGAAGAATGCGTGGCAGCCCATTCTAGAACCTGGCTGCCCAGGGTTTTGCCAGCTGAGATATACTGCAGTTCGTATGCAGCAGACCAGGGCTCAGGCCAAGGCAATCGAACCCCAGGGCTGTTGCCCAGCTCAGAACCTACAGAGCTCCTTGGAGAGAGAAAAGCCAAAAGTGTTTGCAGGAAACTGAGACCCAGCTAAGGGAAAGCTTGCTGAGCAAATAAGTTGGGCGAGAAGACAAGGTTTTCTGTGCTGGGTGCCTGGAACTACCCTGATTAAACATTTACAATGGAAACTTGTTTTCTGAAATTGACTAGGAGAGGTCACAGAGTTATCCATATTGTCACTTTGAATGCATGGGATCAATTATTTTTTTTAATTCTTGTAAGATATGTTTCTCTCGGCAGTTGGTATGCTATTAGTAGAGCAAGGGGAATGCATCGAATTTGGTTCATAAAGTATAGTTTTATGGGGGCTAACATTGCAATCCAATGAGCAATATAAGGGCGATATCTGGACCTCTCTTGACAAGTCCTTGTCAGGTTAAAAAGAATTTTGTGCTTAAATGCTATCCCCCCCACCCCCATACAACGGTTCTTAGCCCAGCATCAAATGGCTACTTGCCGGTTATCTTTTTGTATTCAGTTTTAAGTGTAAGGAGGAAACTTCCCTGGGGAGATGCTATTTAGACTATATATTATTCTACTAAATTACCCTTCCTACCCTAAGATATTGACATTCAAGATTGCCTTGGGGGTGGGGGGAGCAGCAAGCTGATCAGGGAAGAAGCAGGCAGCTCGGTGCTGGCTTTGGTTTTTGTTTTCATTTTCACACTACAGGATGGTGCACAACTCCTGGCCTTTCCTAAGATGACAGGCAGAAATTTTGTCCCCAGTTTAGATTTTTACAATGCAAAATCAAGTGCATAATGGTTCTCAAGTCAGGCTTGAAAATGGCAGAGAGGCCACCTTTTAGAACAAGGTTTGTCCTCTTGATTTTCAACATTCCATAGAAATTTACAGAAATCAAATGATAGGAGGGAAGAAGAAGAAGAAGAAGAAGGAAGAAGAAGAAGAAGAAGAAGAAGAAGAAGAAGAAGAAGAAGAAGAAGAAGAAGAAGAAGAAGAAGAAGAAGAAGAAGAAGAAGAAGCAGCAGCAGCGTAGTACTTATTTGGCAGAAATGAAATATTTTTCCTCTTTCTGTCTCCAGGTCAAACGTTGTTAATGTGATTTGGGGAAGTGAAACCCACAGATTTGGGGAAATAGCCTTAAAAGAAAGAGGTTGGATATCAGTTTGTTATGGAGCCTGGTTATGTTCGCAAAGGGATCTCCAGCTAGTTCTTTAAGTACAGGCCTAAATAAATTGAGGTTGGTAATGTTGTAAGATTTAATCATTTCTGTTAATTCCAAATGACTTTAGTGTTTGGATAACAAGCCAAGACAAACAGAGTATTACTTATATATTTTTAAATTATGAGTTATCCTCTTGAGAAAGAAATACTGTATTTCTCAAGCTCAATTTCATGTAGCATTTTTGGAAAATGAATCTGTATGCATTCTGATTAGATTCCAGTCTTACATGGAGAAATTGATAATCGTTCATTTACTTCTTGACTTGAAAACCATAGTATCCTCTCTGAAAGTAGTAACATTTATTGGTGCTCATTATTGATTCTTCTGGCAATATAGTCCATTGTGCCATCCTAGGATGTCAGTTCAAAGCCTGTGATAAGCTTATCTGAGCTGCTTAAACTGAAATAGGAGCTGTAACAAAGACTCCTATTGGGGCTGAATTAGCACTGCTTCTAGGTTTGCCAAATTTATCTAGTGAAGGATGTTATCTTAGCACTGGTAGGAATTAGAGGTGACACTGTACTAGAACTGACTTTTATGAGACCCCCCTTTTTCTTTTTACAAAATGGACAAGTATGCCCACTGATTAAAAAACCCAAGTGATGCTAATACATTTATTTCTATTGCTAGTTCTTCTTTAAATGCTTTCAAGCCTTATAACCTTAATGGTTCAGTGACCTTGGAAAAGTAAGCAGGAACCTTAATCAGAAATCAGTTTGCCTGTCAATGGCCTTCCAGCTAAGTGGCCAGCCTGTTTAGTAATATACATACATGTTTCTGTTTTTGTACTTCTCAATTTCACTAGTGAATTTCTCTCACCCTGAAGATAGGATACAGCCGTCATATTTTATGCTTAATGCATCTATAGAGAAATACAAGCTATTACAACTATCACAGTAGCCTTGGAAAGATAAGGAACCTCCAAAGTTCCTTAAAATGCTATTGTGGTAGCCCTTTGCTGAACTATCAGGAGGCTGTGATGCCACTAAATATCTAGACAGTGAAAACAATGTCTGATCTCAGCTAGTACATCTCACCCCTCCCCCCCATGTAGTCATATATACAAGCACAATTCTACAGAGAGAAAGATGGTACATTTGCATTTGACTACTCGAATATTTCAATCTGCTGCTCAAGAAAAGCAGGGCTATGGCAACTTTTTTAGCAACTCTTCTCTACTTGATGTGACACAAAGTAAACAAATATTCAGCACAGGGGCTTGCAATTTAGTGTCATGGCCTCCTTTGCATGGGGAAGGATATTGGCTCCATTCATTCAATGCCTATTAGAATCCAAGTCTTAGAGAAGGGCTATTACTATCCACCTAGTGATCCTAATGCTATAAAGGGAGCTTAATCATTGTGCAGGGACTTTAAGCAGATCACCAGTAGTCTGTGGCTCTGTAGTTCTATTAGGCCAAATGAGGAGGATCTTATATAGTGTGACTATGAAGGCAAACACAATAAGTAAACAAAAGTATTTGTTAAGGGCTATGTAGATTGGCTGTATCATTATTAAGGCTTGAAAATGGAATTTTCACAAATGGTATGCTAATATAACTAAGCTGGGATTTCTTAGGATACTCTGTGTGTGTGTGTGTGTGTGTGTGTGTGTGTGTGTGTGTGTTTGTGTGTGTGTGTGTGTGTGTGTGTGTGTGCGTGTGCACATACCTGACAGTAACTTTCCTTGTCTGTAAAACTGCCTAAAGGCACTTTGTGTTTTTAGCTCTATATTTAGACTCCTGGATACTTTATCAGAAAAGCAATGTCTAGGTGGCAAAGGTTTCATTCCATATTACAATTTTTAAAGTTAAAAAACTTGTTGACCCCACATGCTGGTGGCTTATGCCAGTAATCCTAGCTACTCAGGAGACTGAGATTTGAGACTTATGGTTCAAAGCCATCCAGGGCAGGAAAGTCTGTGAGATTCTTATCTCCAATTAACACCAAAGAGTCAGAAGTAGAGCTGTGGCTCAAGTGTTAGCCAACTTCCCTTAAACTTCCAGAACAGCAACTAAGCACTGAATTTAATTCCGTAGAGATACCATTCACACACACACACACACACACACACACACACACACACACACACAGAGCATGCTGAAAGACTTTATTTACGAATTATACTTATTATTCACAATAAACTACAAGTAAGTATACTTTGTGTGGAGTAGTTTTAGAACACTTTTTTCCCCTAAATTTTAAACTTTGAAAATAATACAAAAATTAAAACAATACAGAAAATGGTGGAATGGAAATTTTTGAACTCAGGTCTGTTTAACAAGCCTCATATTATTGACCCTCTAAGAAGTTTAACTTTGTATCAAGGTGAATGTGTTAACCAGATTGGAAATGGGCCATTATTCCTTCAATTGCACATTCCATTCCTCTCTATGTTAAATACGAGAGCTCACAAAACCTACTTTTAATTCCTTAGTAATACCTTTTATGTCTAGAATCACTTAGATCATTTTGTACAACTCAAGATTAACCACACTACTATTGTTGCAATAAACAATAATAACGTTTAGCCATTTGGAAAATACTTTGAAATGATCAAAAAGAACAAAGCATTTGTAAGTTGTAGAAGTTAGCTAAGAGGTTTTAAATGCAATTCTTCTAACTCTAACAATTATTTCCTTTTACTTAAATAATGGAATTACTTTAGAAAATCTAAATGTGGATATTAGAGTCTAATATATATCTGTATAATTTCTTTCCTTCCTAGAGTCTTGTCAGATGGAGAGTCTTTAGATATGTAAGTTCCCAATCTCAAGGTCAACCTTAAATTTCTCAAAAGAATAGTCTTTGAAAAAGAATTTTAAAAATCTAACAGAGAGTTGGTGCTTGGCTCAAGTGGTAGAGCACCTGTCTCGCAAGTGTCCAAACCCCACTGGGAAAACAAAAGCTAATTTAGATAAAATATTCTAGAAGATTCAGGACAATTCCTTCTCTTAGACTTCACACATATACTAATCATATTATTTCAAATAAACAATCCACAATAATTGTCAACTCATTTCCTGTTTCTGAAAGTCTGTTAGCAATATAATTCCTTGGAACATGCTTTCTTATAGAAATGATGATTTCTTATAGAAATGATGATATAAATGCTGGTTAGAGTCTCATACTAGTCCATCAAAGGCTATTTACCTAATATCAGGCTGTAATGCTAGTGTTCTCCATGAATATGTAAATAATATTATGCTTACCAGAGTAATTAGCTGGAAGAGAATAATGATATTACACTCATTTTTCATTTTAAATGTTGCTGTTTAATATTGTTATTAGTCTTCCCACATGGCTAATCTAAGTTAATTATTAACAAAAAGGGATTTAATTAGAGGACAAATAAAAAGCTGGAAGAGAAATTTTGAAGATATATCTAGAGAAATCTTTTTATATTTTCAAAAGCTTTAGGAATTAAAACATTCATTTTAAAATTACATTCAATTTTACTTTAATTCTTGCAGTTTACCACTTCTTGAATCAGTTTTATCATACAAAACACCATAAAAATTTGAGATTATTACATAAACTCATAGATGCAAAAAAGAGGAAAGAGAATTTACTGAAATATTTGTAAATGAGT